ATACATACTTACATACATACATACATACATACATACATACATACATACATACATACATACATACATATATAGACACATCTACAAGACTGCACTGGCGCTTCGCGCCATGCATCTTGGTCCGTGAGGCTTTGCATCTCTTGGTCGTTCGCGCCACCCCTGGTGGCCTTGGAGATTTGGCCCCTTCCCCGCGGTGGTCTCCCGAAGCCTTCGAGCGTCCGGGCGGCCCCCGAGGCCCTTCCCGGGCCTCTGCCCTCGGGGGGCTCCAGAGAGAGGCGCCGGGCAGAGGGCGCAGGACCGGAGGGAGGGAGTCTCGGAGAGCGAGGACAGGAAGCGGATGCGGCGGAGGACGAGTGGTGAGCGGCAGAAAGAGGAGGAGGAGGAGGAGGAGGAGGAGGAGGAGGAGGAAAAGGAGGAGGGCGCCGTCGGGGGACGGCGAAGGATGTTGCAGCGGGTTGCAGCGGGTCGCAACGGGGCACGCGATCACAAAGGATTCTTAGGGAATGCACCCAATCCCGGGTTCGCAACAGATTTGCGGGCTTTGTGGTTGCGATCCCTGGATTCGGGTCTGTTTGGTGGAAAACGCCGTGTGGACCTTGTGAGAGTCCTGGAGGGCCGGCTTGGGACTGTCTTGGAGCCATCTTGGGCTGTGTTGGGGATCTTAAGGAACCTTACGTGGGCTACGTAGGCCCTCCTGTTGGCCTCCCATGGCCTTTGGGGGGGCTCCCATGGCCTTCTTGGGCTTCTCTTGGAGGCCTTCTGAAGGCCTGTTGGGCCTCTTTTTGGCTCATTTGGGGTTTCCTTGGGCAGTCTTGGGGCCATCCAGGCCGTCTAGGGGCTCTCTTGGCTCTTGGGGGTCTCTTGGGCCGTCTTGGGGCGATACAGGAGACCTTCTTGGCTGTTTTGGGCGCTGCTAAGACCCGAACAGCGCACATGCTGAACATGTACTTTTTCCAAAGGGAATGGAGCGACGTTTGCGTTTTGGGAGTCCTGTTGAAGACCTCCTGGGCCGTCTTGGGGGCCTCTGGAGGCCATCTGGGTTCTTCTTGGAGCGCTGTTGTGCTGTCTTGGGTCTCTCTTCGGCCTCTCTGATAACCGCTCTGATCGCTTGGGGCCTGCTGGCAGGACCCGGATAAACGCCCTGGGAGGTCCGGGACGAGTTGGGGGATCTTTGGCAAGGATGTCATGGGGCCCAGAAGCTCCTGATCATTGGGGTCTAACTAATATTTTTCAGGGGGGTGAGGGGGGTTCCCCACCCCTCAGCTCGTAAAAGTATAAGGAGAGGACTAGACATATATAGTACCAGTATGTATCTGCTGGACGTCCCAGTCTCGGGCAGCTCGTTTGACAGCACCATCTTGCGTCGGATTCACGTTCCGAGCAGAGGACTGCTGCCCCCCACCTCCTCTCCGCTCTTCTCCTCCCGCGCAATCTTTCTCGCCTGCAGATTGGGCGAAGCTGTCGCCACGTTTGTGGGTTCCTGGGAGGCTCCGCAGAGTGACGTGACGTGCGGATCGGAACGAGACTCGCCCCTCCTGCAAGTTGCGAGCTTCGAAGTTGTCGCTATTCTCTGTTGGCTCCTGGGAGGCCCAGCGGAGTAAGAGGATCAAAATGAGACCTGGCCTTCCCTGGGGGCTGCGAATGCTGCATATGTCGCCACTTTCGTGTGTTCCTGGCGGAGTGACTCCACACTCGAATCAGAATGGGACCGTGCCCCTAGGGGGTGCGAATTATGAAATTGACGCCACTCTCGTAGGCTCCTGGGATGCCCGGCGGAGTCATGCATATGCGAATCAGAATGTTACCTGGCCTTCTTCGGGGGCTACGAATTGTGAGAATGCCGCCACCGTCGTGGGGCCCAGCGGAGTGACGTCGTGCGCTGGTTCGAAAGAGACCTTGGCGTCCCTGGGGGCTGGGAATTACGACCAAGTTGTCAAGGAGCCACGTCACGAACCTGGATTACAAGCTTGCGGGGATCTGAGAGGCCTGGGGAGACCAAGGGGTGAGGGAAGGCAAAGTTGGAGGCGGGGGGATTCGCAGATTACTCAGGAGGGGCAACAACACAGACACAAGTAATTGTCGACCCCCAGGACGGTGGGAAAATATGGGAGGAGGGGGGAAGACGAACATCCAGAACGCTTGTGCGTATTTATATGTGTGTGTGTGTGTGTTCCTGAGCCTCTTCAGTTATGAGAGCATGGCCACGTAAACCACAGCGCGCCTCCTCGTTCAGACCCCCACCTCCACTACCTCAACGGACTGGAAGGAATCTGGCGCTGCAGGGAGCCCAGGGGGTGGAGATGGAGGTGACCGAGAGGCGGGTGACGTTGAAGATGCCCAGACATCTGGGAAGGGGGCATCAGGAACCACAGACCTCGCCTCACAAGACCCCCTCACGATTCAGCACCTCCACGGGTCGGGAGGCTGCGCAGACAGCAGAAGCACAGGAGGGTAGAAGGAGTGGGACGTGACAGAGGCATGTGTTCTCGCGCGCGTGACGCACGAGCGAGTTTGGCGGATTAGCCTCGTCATCTGTCACTGGTTCGGCTCTAACATAGGTGGCCAGCGGCCTCTGGCACGCAAGGCGTGTTGGTTTTCACGTGCCGGCCCGCATGGTGGACGGGGCATGGCCTGCACCTGCACCCCGGGAGCCAGCTTGCTCGCACTCCTCCTCGCTGGTGCGCTGGCCCGCTTTGGACATGGAGCGCCGGGCAACGGTCAGGGGCAGCGCTAGGGGGGTACAGGCTCCGGCGGGATTGCATCGACGTCGATCGCCCAGTCACCGCCGAGGGGGGGCCAGATCGCCCGCCCCGCCCAGGAAGGTCCCGTTTCGCCGTGTCGCCGATCGATCGGTGACATATCTCTGACTCGAGCTCGATGTCTCCCCCCTCGTAGCTGTGCCCGCCCTAGAGTTCCCCCTCGGATACCCTCCTCGAGTCAGTCGACATTCTCACGTTGCTACCGCTCACGGGCGCCTGGAGTGGAGGCCGAACGATGATGCTATCTGCACGCATTGCCGAGGCCCTGATCAACGAGGAGCAGACGATCCTCCCAGGGCACGTCCTCACGAACCACTTCTTCGACGACCGGTGCTCCTCGCAAACGAGCCAGCAGGTTCTGTTGAATGAAGCTACTTCAGACGATTCCTACGTGGCCTTTGGAGGCGCAGGCTGCGACAGTGTTTGTGCCGGTGTGTCTTTTGTGGCCGACGCCATACGACTGCCATTCCTCAGCTACGAGTGTGCTGGCGATGAGCTGTCGAGCACTGTTGACTACCCTGCTCTCACGCGAATGGGTACGATGACCACTAGCGGCGTCGGAGCAGTGGTTGGTCACTTGGCGGACCTGTACAGTTGGCAGAATGTCGCTATCATCACCGGCGATCCAGCCGTGTACGGCACCAAGGCATTGGCAGTCGCCGCCGACATGCAGTCCTTTGAGCTCACGACCGAAACGCACTCCGTGAACGAGGATTCGTCAAGTCTGTTAGACGATATCACGGCCATATTTGAGCTCCTGAGGGATAAGAAATGGCGAATCGTGTACGTCCTGGCCAGCGAATCCTTTTACCGGAAGATCATTTGCGGCTCAATTGTTGCGAAAGCGAACATGGGCCTCACATGGTTGTCCGACGGCACTTGGAGGCACCGGTGGTGGACGAAAACTGATACGGCTGTGTCTGACAACAAGCAATGGTTATCGACGGACGCTGCGACTGCTACACTGCGATCATTTTTCCACGCAGTCAAGCAAGCATGGGATGAGCACGGTGAGACCGACGAAGCACGCCGTGAAGAACTACAGGCGTCGTATATCACGGAGCAGAAGGATTTTCTCGACTTCGCCGAGGGCGACGAGTTGTACCATTCAGTCCACAAAGTATACCACCCCACGTTCAGATCCTTGCTTTACGCGCGGAGTTACTATGACATTTTCTTGTTCGACCTGAACGGGAATTTAATATATTCTGTGTTTAAGGAACGTGATTTTGCGACGAATTTCAAGCACGGCGGTGGTGGTGAGTGGTCTGATTCAGGACTCGCAGATGCTTTCGAATCGGCTCTCGCGGATCCGCATGCGTTGCACGAGACCCCGTGGAGCCCCTACGGGCCAAGTTTCGGAGCGCTCGCAAGCTTCCTCGCAACGGGGCTTTTTGGAGATGACGGAAGCTTGCTCGGAGTGTTTGCCATTCAGTTGCATCCCTCCGCAAGGTCGATTGAGCTCGTTGAGCCTCAGTGTTCTCTCGAGGCGATAGAGGAGCACTTCGAGGGTGCGATCAACATCGCCGGGCTGGGAAGGCCGACGGAGCAGGACATGGACGAGCCACTGTCCTGCTTCCAGAACCACACGGCGAGGACCTTCAATGAGCTCATCCAGAAACATATTGTGGAGGGTTACCCATCTGGCGATGCTGAGAGCGTTGTCGAAGACCCCAACCACTACGTTGCTGGCAACGGCGCAGATGCTACCTGTGTCTTCGCTTACACGGTGAAACACTTGTTGGACGAGGGCTACACGCTTCAGCAGATCCGCCAACCTACGTATGAGGTCTACAGCAAGTTCCAGACGTACATCAAGGAGCACATCGATTTCAATGGCGTGTCTGGGCGAGTGACATTCGAAGGCAACGACAAGCCGAATACCATTGGCATAGATCAGGTTCGGAAGATGTCAGCTGAGAATCCGATTTTAGTCGGCCACTTGCTCCAAGATGGAACGCTCGACCTCATTGCCGACGGAGGGCTGACCAATGAGTCGTGGCAGCCTGCAGGCCCAGACCCTCCCCCTCCGCCCCCACCGCCCGACAGTTTCCCGTATTTGGCATGCCATGTTTTGATCGTTGCGGTATTGGTTTGCGTCCCTTTTGTCATGGGCTACGTTGCCTCCTGGGACAAGCTGTCAAAGCCTTTCTCGTCGCGGTCAGAAGCCGCGCTGCGGAAAACGCAGAATTCGGTGCAGGTGCCAGCGCCATGAGGATGACGGGGCTTGCTATCTGTTCTGCCTCAAGTGCTCGGACGTCGTCGTTCGCCCTGGGAGGATCTCTCGCCCCGCGGTGCTTTCCCGACGGCTGCGCCTCTCCGAGAGCGCCCAGGGGTGCCCGAAGCCTGCCCGACGACCGCCATAGGGCCCGAGCCCTGCCCCGAGACGACCTCGGCCCCGGGCTCCTCCTCCTCCTCCTCCTCCTCCTCCTCCTCCACCCCCTCCTCCTCCTCCTCCTCCTCCTCCTCCTCCCCGTCCTCCCCGTCCTCCCCGTCCTGCTCCTCCTGCTCCTCCTGCTCCTCCTCCTCCTCCTCCTCCTCCTCCTCCTCCTCCTCCTCCTCTCCTTCCTCCTCCTCCTCCTCCTCCTCCTCCCTCCTCCTCCTCCTCCTCCCTCCTCCTCCTCCCCCCCTCCTCCCTCCTCCTCCTCCTCCTCCTCCTCCCCTCCTCCCCCTCCTCCTCCTCCCCCTCCTCCTCCTCCTCCTCTCCTCCTCCTCCTCCTCCTCCTCCCTCCCTCCTCCTCCCCTCCCCCTCCCCCCTCCCCCTCCTCCTCCTCCTTCTCCTCCTCCTCCTCCTCCTCCTCCTCCTCCTCCTCCTCCTCGGGGGGAGTGTCCCTCGCACATTTTCTGGCATCTCGGGGGGACTCGGCCGGGCCCGCGGTCCTCTCGCAGAGCCTCGGGCATCTCCCGAGCTGGCTCGGCGCTTCCCCCTCGGCACTCCAGGAGACGGCTCGAGCCTGGAGCCGAGAGCCCGGCAGGCAGGGCAGCATCCCAGACCCCCTCGAGTCGTGACAAAAATCACGACGGAAGGTTTTTCGCTATTTTCGGCCTCTGAGGGCCCTTACCGGGCCTCGGGACCGTCAAAACACGACTCGGGATGAAAAACCGGTCCCGGGGAATGGGTCTGAACCTCTGGGGGTCGCGTCATGAAAAAATCATGACGTCGGGGGTCTGGGATACCGGAGACGCGCACGGCGGGTTACCGCAGTCCCCTGCCTTTGTGGACGTGCCTACGTGACCAGACGTTGGGCCAGACCTGGCCAAGCCATTGGACTCTGTGCTCTGGCGCCGTAGTGGAAAGAAGGGCTTCATTCAGGGAACGTGTGAGGTGGCTGGCCTCCAGGGGGGCGTCTAGGCCTTCGGAGGCTGTATTGGGGGCCTCATTGGACCTTCGGATGGTCGGCTGGGCTGGAGGCCACAGGGAACTTGTTTGACCTATTTGCAGAGCCAACAGAAGGGCCATAATTACACCCTTTTGCAAGCAAAGGGGGCCGTGGATCTAGTGGCCCCTCGGCCAATCCTACTACTGCGCCCAGGTCGTGGATGAGAGGCATCCTAGAGGCTTCCTCTTGCAAGCAGAGGAGGCGGTGGATCTAGTGGCCCCTCGGCCCATCCTACCACTGCGCCCAGGTCGTGGATGAGAGGCGTCCTGGAGGCTTATTATTATTCTACCTCTTCTTTCTAGTATTTTTCGTTGTCTGGTTCACTTTAGTCGGGGAAGCCTTCCGGGAAGCCTCTCGGAAGAGCATTTCGGAGGCATGCCGAGGGCCTTGTGGGGGCATGCCAGCGGCCTCGGGGGCCACCCTTTCGGGAGGGGAGCCCGACGTGTCAGTCTGAGTGCCCCCTCCTCGGTGCCCCATTGTCCGTCTCCTGGGCTGTCTCGGGGCGCCCTCTTGGGCCGTCTTGAGGTCCTCTTCGGGATTGCTGGGCCGTCCTGGAGCGATCTCGATGGCCTCGGTGGCTGTCTTGGAGCGTTGGCCCGAAAAGGCGAGAACGCCGAAATCAGCCAAGCGCTTCAAGGAAATAGTGATGCATGGCTGCGGCATGTTTGGGCCTTCTGGGGGTCTTCTGTGGGCCATGCTCGGACGTCTTCGTGGCATCTTGGGCCATCTGAAGGGCATCTTGTGCATTTGGGGGCGCCCCTGGGTCGACTCGGATACCTTCTCGACCAGCTTCGGGGGCATCTTGGAGCCCTCTGGGGCCGCGTTGGCGCCCTCTTGCCCTTTCGAGGATCCTTGGCATCGCTCGGACGCGTGCTTTTTCTTCGGCGAGGACCATCGAGGAGTATCTTTGATCCTCCAGAGAAGAGTTCACGCACGACACCGAAACACGCCGGGGAAACTGACGTCCGAGCGATGGCGAGAATCGCGCCGAGAACGCCCCAAGAAGTTATTGCCTCTTATGTTAGCGGAGCGCCCAAATGCCCTCGGAGCGCTGTCCGGGAACAATTGGGGCCGCGGTTGCGCCCCCCTGCTTTTTTTAGAAAACTCGGACATCCTTGGCATCGCTCGGACGTGTGCGTTTTTTCTCGGCGAGGACCATCGCGGAGCATCTTTGATGATCCAGCGAAAAATGTGCACACACGACATCGAACAGTGCACGGGGAATGGACCTCCGAGTGATGGCGAGTTTGCGGTCGGACCGAGGTGTAAGATCGAGGTCGGTTCGGTGAGGGTTACCCTCCATCCAAGGTTCTTGAGTTTGGCCCGCGTAGGGTCTCGTGCTCTTGAGAGATGTCCTTCTGTGCCAGCTCCAGCCGTGCGCCTCCGAGGTGGGGTCGCGCATCCCCCGTGGTGCGCCCGCCAGGCTGAACACATGCGCCGTGCTCTGCCTCCCTCCGGGGTTGGGGGGGGCCAGCCCTCCCGCGCATCGGGTGACCCCAGAGAGGCCGACGAAGTCCTACCACTGCGGCCATCCGTCATATCGAAGTCCCATCAATTCGGACATACTTCCTCAGAGAGTTATCCAGGACAAATTGGGGCCGCGTTGGCGCCCTCCTGTCGGGACGATCGAAGTGGTTACAGAGAGAACGGGTACGATGCCCAACAGCAGTTCCTGTTCATTTTGACCGGGAGCTGCTGTCGGCGCCTCCGCGGACGCTGTTCACCGAAGGCAGAAGGCTGCCTGCCCAACAGCGGCCGCTGTCGGCCTTGGACAACGTTCGCTGTTAAGCACTGTGCCCCTTCTTCCCGCACCCCTTCTGGGCGTCCACCCCTCTTGCCCCTCGGGAGACCACGCCGAGAGCGCCCCCGAAGACATCCTCGACGCGTCGCGCCCGCCCCCGTGGCGCGCCCGCCCGGCTCAAGAAGAGGCGCCTCGCTCTGCGCAGGAGGGGAAAACCACACAGAGACAAGGAGTCGTCGGCTCCCAGGAAAACATATGGGAGAAAACATGGGAAGTGGGGTGAAGACGAGGCCCCAGAAAAGGTGGGAAACTACAGTCGACCCGCAGAGTAAGGATAGGCATCTCTCCCAAGGCTACTCTTGCACCCTTGCCTCCTGGGTCCATCCTTGGACACTTTCGTTGGCCGCGCCCCGCTCGAACCGCTTCGAGATGGGCGTCCAAGGACCTTGCATCCTTATCGCGCATCCTTACTCTGCGGGTTGACTGTATGGGGGAGCCTGCTCCTTGTGTCTCTCTATTTCTGTGCCCCAGGGCCCCTTTTTCTCTGCGCCCCTTCCGGGGCATGGGGGGGGGGCCGGCCCTCTCGCGCGCCGGGTGGCCTCCTGGGAGGCCGGCGAGGTCCCACCTCCACGGCCACAAGGCGTACAGGCGGCCCGGAGGAGCAAGTCTGAGTCGGGCATATCCCTCCACAGGGGACATTTTTTTTTTTTGTTGGGGGGGCATCTTTCTGTTTTTGTTTGAGTATTTTTTATTTTCCGTCGAGAATCCTCTGTAGGGGGACAGGCCCGACCTAATATTAGGTCGACCCTGCCAGCTCAAGGGTACCCTCGTGTCGGGGGCGGGAAAGAGGGGGGTGATTACTAGGGGGGAGGGATATCGTGGCGTGGCCCATGATATTTCCTCAGATCTCATGGCGCCTCTTCTTATCTCATTACGTCCCTGACCGCCCCGCCGGGCCGCGCACATGCCGCCAGTCATGATTTGCACCCCCCCCTCTTGGACACCCCCATCTTGGCCGCTCCCGATTGTGTCCTGTGTCTCGCGACCCATGCTTCGTACATTCCTGTGGCGATGTGGCCCTCGAAAGGGTCTTGTGTCCTTTCGCGTGTCCTCTCCAGTCAAGCCCGACTGCATCGTTCGAAGCAGAAAGAGAAGGCCACAGCCAGAAACTTTTGGCGCTCCGCGCGGATTTCTTGGATCTGCGCTGGGCCCCCCGGCGGCACCTCTGGCGCCGCCCCTGGCGCGCTCCTCGCGCTACGGAGAGGGCGTCCAGCGCAGATCCAAGACATCCGCGCGGAGTGCCAAAAGTTTTATGTTTACGCATGCCTGGCTTTCTTTTAATCGTGTCGATGCACGATCGATTCGCAATTGGTTCCCAAGTGATGCACGTTCTGGTCTTGTGTCGGGTTCAGTGTACTTCGCAGGTTTCCCCTGCATTTCTTATCAGGCAAGTTGGCTCGCACGATGCCACTCCTCGGAACAATTCTGCATGTGAGCGTCATCCCTGCAAACTTGCCAGCGGACTGCACGAGGAAACTATCGAAGACGCCTACGGCGAACCACCGCCGCCCCCTGCCTGTTGGAATCGCCCATGTTGCCGAACGCTGTGGCCAGAGCTCTGCCAAGCTATCCGACCATGCTGTCCCCCAGCCATTGTGGAAACCCCTCGGGGAAGAGGAGGCGGAGAAGGAGGAGGAGGTGGAGGAGGAGGAAGAGGCGAAGGAGGCTGAGGGAGCTTCTTATGGGCATCTCGGAGGCCTCTCGGAAGCCTCCTTGGGCCGCCTTTTGTGGGCCTTTTGGGGCTCCTTGGGGGCCTCCTTCGCCGTCTTAGGGCGTTCGTGGCCCGTCTGACGCTGTCGTAAGCCGTTTTGGGGGCCTCTCTGGACCGATTTGGGGCCCTCTTGGGGCGCTCCAGGGCGTCTTGGAGGCCTCTTGGGCAGTCTTAGGGCCCTCTTGGGGCCGTCTTAGATAGAGGCTTCTCGGGCCGTCATGAGGTCATCTTGGAGCCCTTTGGGGCCATCTTGGGGCGATCTTGGGGGCCTGTTGAGCCGTCTTGGGCCGTCGGAAGGCCGAAAATCAGCAAAGCGCAACATCCTTCAAAACCGAGTGACATCTATGATTTGGGCCTCTGCGGGCCCCTCTTGGCGGCCTCTTGAGCCGTCTTGAGGCCATCTTGGGCAGTCTTGGGTGCATCTTGGAGCCATGTTGGGGTCTCGTCAGGACAAGTTTGGGGCCCCTCCCCGTGGGATCAGGTTCCAGCGTGCTGAACAGGCAGTCGGCAGGGCTGGGAAACGTGTCGCTGCAGCTGAGCAGCGCCAGGCCGATCTCATCAAAGAAAGGGAGGAGTTGGAGGAGACTATTCGCTTGGCAGGAGAGGATATCGTCAAAGCGAAGCAGGAGCTGGAGGCAGCAAAGGAGCGCAGGAGGACGGAGGGCCAGACAGAAGAAGATAAAGCGTCTCGCCAGAAGTTCGAAGCGGCTGCTTCCAGCTACAATCCAGAAGTTCAGCAGGCCCTCGGGTCGATTCTTGATGAGGTTATGCCCGCACCGCCCCCAGTATCCAGGGAGGAGGAGGAGGAGGAGGAGGAGGAGGAGGAGGAGGAGGAGGAGGAGGGGGAGGGGGAGGAGAAGGAGGAGGAACGGGCGGGTTTCGAGAAGGACGATGGGACCCGCCAGCGGGAGTTCTCGCGTGCCTTTTCCAGGAACCTCGGCCCAGGACTTCCTGCGCGCCCGGCAGACATTTCGACCCGCAGCCTTAGGCAGGCAGCCCCCGGCAGCCGTGACGGCGGCGCAGGGGTTGGAAGTGACAAAGGAGACCGGCGGGGGAGCAGGTCCCCCCAGGCGCGAGCAGATATATAGGAAGTATCTGGCCGTGGAGCGCCACCCGGCAGGGGACATGCCCCTCGGCACCCTCATTGTGAATGGCTCTGGATGGGGAGTAGCTTTCGCCGAGGTTGAGCGCGCGAGCTGTCTCGCTGTCTGTATTCGAGAGCACCGTCTGCGGGGGTCAGAGCTCAAGGGGAAGGCTACTCAGTTGACGAGGGTCGGCCGGAAGAGCTCCTGGACGGAAGCAGGAGTTTCTCTAGAGGGCAACACGATCGCGGGTGCATGTATTCTGGTACGCAGGTTTCTGGATGCACGGTCTCTGTTACCGTCGGTCGTTCCTCATAGAGTTGCCCACTGCTGTATCAGAACAGCAGCTGTAGGGGCCTTTTGGGGTGCATTCGGCCTAACTCAGGGACAGCATAGGCATGGTCAAAGAGAACCTTCAGCTGTTCAGGGCTTTCGGTCCCCACGCGCTGTCCTCAGATGTATCCTTCATTGCGGCAGGTGGCTGGAACAACACGCCAGGATCACTACGACCATCAGTGGATCTAAATATTAGATCGGCTACCATTCGGAGTGATGTACATGTGTATTCGCACGTGTACACCAAGGATGGCAAGTCTAGAAGCAATACCTTGGAGTACTTTATCTTGAGTTGTACCCTGTCGGTTATCACTTCAGATCCGAAAGTTGATATAACCAGTGTTCTCTCGCCTCGCAGGCCTGTGTCCATCTCGGTAAAGCGCGCCGTGAATGACTTTATTGTGCCCGCCCTCGAGAGGTTCGCCAGGCTTCCTGCCCACGCTGCGGTGCCCCCCCAGGTCCCATCTCCAGATTGCCACCAGGTTGCTCTGAAGCTGGACGTTTTTTTTGGGAGGCTAGAATCGGAGGCTCGCAGCATATGCTTTCGGGAGATATGCAACAGAGAGGCAAGCAGATCTGGGATGAGACCTACCAGGACTCGGTTACAATGGTTTGGCAGGAACTCCCGGATGCAACGCAATCCCTACCCGCCGCTGGGGCGCCTGCTGGTGAGCGTTTCGCTTTTGACCTCAAACCAGTGAGGACGGCTCTTACCACCAAACAGAACCCTCTCCCTACCCCCGGGCGAGCCCTCCACTGGTTGAGGAACCGTCTTGTCGAGCTGCGTCAATTGCACACCCGGAGAGGGCAGTCAGCGCCGTCAGGACACTGTCGGACCCTGCTCAGAGCTACGGGGCTTTTTCACGCGGGGAAAGAAAAGGCGGCTTTCTGGACTACGATGTTTGATCAGTTCCACTTGCGTCTCTCGAAGCATCGCGTCTGGCCTGATCGCCAGCTGATTTCAGAAATGACTGTTTTCATCGACGCCGCCGAAATGTCTAGTAAGCAGCAGTGCGCCCTAGATAAGAAGAGCAAAGGAGAGAGGTGGCAGCAGCGGCGCGGGCAGGCGTTCGCAGGAGGAGCAGAAGCAGCACATGCCACGACCAGGCTGTCGCCCGAGTACGAGGAGGAGGCTTACATGAGAAAGGATGGCACGCTCACTGGCGACAGCGCTGTGGGACTTCATCACCAGAGGGGATCTTGGAGTAAAGCGCGGACAGCTTCGGATACCTCTGGTGTATCAGAGCACGCTTTCGACGGCCCACGCGAGTTGCCACCCAGAGATGATGCAGACCTCTTGCGTCGGATATCTCGGAATTTCAAGATTCGGACGACAGAAACCGGAGGCCTCCATCCGAAGCACTTCTCCCTTCTTTCCTCGGCGAGCCTAAACGTTATGTCTGGGATGGTCATTGTGATGATTGCTGTGGGTAATGCACCTACGTCTCAACAGCACGCAAGCATGCAGTTATTCAGGAAACCCAAGAGAGGACGCCACCCAATTGGACTTCTCACGTCTTTTGAGCGCCTCCATGGGCTCACGCTTGCGTATGAAGCTAAGAAGTGGGAGGGGCAATTATGCATTTTACCATGGTTATCCATGGCCTCCGGCAGAGGCCCTCCAGATGCAGTCTTGAGGCAGGGTGCCAAGGGATAACTCCTATCACGGCAAGTGTGTAATCGTTTGAGCGTTCTCTGGGATCTCCTGCAGTTTTTTACGAGCACATCAGCCACGCTATTTTGTGGAAGCAGGCTATGCTGGTAGAATATCGCCTGGTCGCCTTAAGGTATACCCTCTGTGTGTAGAAAAGGCAGAGAATCGTCGCCATGGGCGGACATGCAGCCTCCCCGATCTGGCCAACACGTGGAGTGATACGAGGGGAACGCCTTCTTTGTGCCAAATATTGCGAATTCGGCAGAGCAGTTGAAGTGCCTGAGCCCAGCCCTTACGGTCCACGTTAATGATTTCACCCGGAATGAAGCTCAACCAGGTTTCTTCCAATGCCCCTCCACGATGACAGAGAAAGCCACAGCGCTGGGCCAGTTGGTCACGCAGGAATTAGGGGCCCCGCTGGCTTACGCTAAGCTCTCGGTAACTGGGTCCTCCCCAGCATTGGTTGAAGCAGCGCGTGCAGTCATGGGGGCCCTTGCAGGTGCCCCTGGAGACGTTCCCAGGAACCTCGGCGTGGACCACAGTCTTGGGAAGCACATGCTTCGAGCTGGCCCCAGGCGGATTCGCGACAAGAGGCCCCAAAACACACCCGCAGGGTTGAGGAAGCCCAAAGCCATCAAGGCTCCCAAGTTTACCAAGGCTAAGCTTTTCTCTACTGGACTGCAGAGCGCAGCGGCTTACGGGGGTGAAATCTCTGGCTACACCCAGAAAGAGCTGGCGTTCCTGTGGCTCCCGGCCGCCAGGGCCCCTGGGGCCCCCCGAGCGGGGCCGCGTGCTATTGGTCTGCATCCCCCCCCCGCCCGTGACACAATTCGGTTTGCTGTCAGTGCGTTGAAGCGGTTTTGTACAGAGCGGTGGCAAACCATTGACGAGGAGCTGTTTCAAGGGGATGTTTTGGCGGCGGGGGGGCTCTCTAAGGGTTTTGCGATTATTTCAGCAACTCTTGGGCGTCTTCCCGAGAAGGCCTCTCGGCTACAGTGGTCGACGGGCCCCCCCGCCGACGTCCACCTCTGGATGCGGGAGGCAGGGTGGGAGTCGGGCGGGCCAGCTACCAGGGTCGATCGCCAGGCCTTCGGTGGTCGTTATCCCAGGGCGCCCCATATACGATGACTCGGAGTTTCGAGAAGGACCTGAGGAGCGCGTTCTCGCAGCGCGCTCTAACGTCGAAGCTTGAAGATTGCACGAACGAGTGGGCGCAACAGATAATCGAGAGAAGTCAGTGGAACTCCCAGCGCGCCGTTTGCATGCAGGTAAGACGTTGTCAGCGAGCCAGGAACTTCCCCTGGTGGCTATCATCTCTGGGTGCTATACCACGGCCTTAGACCTTAGGAGATGGGGGCGCAACACCGACGGCAACTGCGAGTGCTGTTTGCGACCAGACAGCGTACATCACCGTGCGTGGACACGCCCGCGCTTTGAAGCGGAGCGGGAGGGACTCGACCAGGAGATACTAGAGATGACGA